CGCAAGCCACCACCACTGAGCCCACGTGCCACAACTACTGAAACCTGCACGCCTAGAGCCCGTGCTCCACAACAAGAGAAGCCACGACAATGAGAAGCCCTCACACTGCAATGAAGAGTAGCCACCGCTCACCACAACTAGAGAAAGACCACATACAGCAACAAAGACCCAAAACAGCCAAAAGTAAATAAATAAGTAAATTTATAAAAAAAAAAAAAAAAGAAAGAAAGCAACAGTAACTGACAAACACTTTCAAATGGAAGCTTGAAAACCTTTTAAGCTTATCCCTAAGAGCTGCTTTTAATATAGGAAAATAACATAATTATTGATATATCAATAATTAAACTAGTGCTAAGTCTTTGTATAATGGGCTCCAAACACGTAAACCTCGCTACCAAGCCCTGTGTTTGTCCTTCATGATATAGATCTACAGTACCCTCTGAAATGTTTGGTGCTTCAGTGAGAAGAAAATTATTAGAAATGTAAGACATTTGTTTTAATTTTTCTAATTCCTATTCTGAGATAAACAGTATTTCAAAAGAAATTTCAACTGACATGAATTTAATTATATAAATGGAAACCCAAAGCTAACTCTAAAATTGAGCAAAATCTATTTTTTTACATACATGTGGACATCTCTTCAAAGTCACATTTTCACTTCCAGATGGGCTGGCTTATGACAAAAGACAGTGAAAAGACAGAGTGGATAGCCATACAAAATTGGATTCAATGACTCTTCCAGCCACAACTAAGGAGAAAGGAAAAAAATGATTATTAGTAGTTGGGAGTCCATTTCTAGAAATAAAGAGGATTAGCTAAAATTAAATTAGACACATACCAAAAAAAAGCAGATGATTAAAAGAACAAAGAAGAATAAGAGAAATACTAGTTCTTTGATTAATGAAAAATTATATAGTGGTCTACTGTAATAGAAAGTGAATATTGAATTTTTCAGGGTGTGAGCCGATTCCAATACTGTAGCTACACTTACTAGGAATAAAATGTGGGCAGGCATATCCACATACAGTTAATGAGCATTTCAAAGAATTGTGGAAATTCTTTTTTTTTTTTTTATTCAAGCACTTGAAGAAAATGGGAACAAGTTTGAGATTCACACTAATGAGATGAAAGGACTTTTAAACATTTAGTATTTAGTTGAGTAGATATTCAGGGAAAAGCAGTGTTCTGGAATAATTTTAAGTCATAACTTTGCGAGTGTGAGTAGATGCACGGATTGACTCTTGTTCTTCTTGTCCACCCCATGTTCTTACTACCTGGACTCCCAACTTCATGAAAAACACCGAATCCTCTCTTCTCAATCCCCTCAGTTCCTTGAAATGCAGTTTTTCACTCCCAACACTCTCCCGGCATTGCATTTTGTAAGGTCCCCATTGCCCACCACTCAGCAGATTCAGTGCTGTTTTTTGTTGTTGTTGTTTGTTTGTTTTATTTTAGGAGGAGTTTTTGCCTCTGGCATTACCAACTTCCCTGAAATTCTTTCTCCTGTTGGCCTGGACATGCTCTGTCTCTCCAGGCTGTCCTCACACCTCCCAAACCCTTCCTGTTTCTTCTCTCTCTCCTTGCTTTTTTCCTCCTTGTTTTACAAACTGTCCCTTGGTAATCACATACACTTGCATAAATACAAATACCGTTATCCGTATCTCTTAAATTCTAAGGACAATGGCAAAGACATCAGTTGTCAATTTTCTTAACCGTGGTGTGCTTAAATTCTCAGATAATATTCTAATTCCAAGAAATGGAAAAGAAATGACATTTGAGAGACTCAATTATTTTTCAAGGTTACTTTGTTGACCTATGGTTTAGCACTAACCCGTGTGTTTGAAAACTGCAAGCTTTGATATGATAGCCAAAATGTCAACAAAATAAATGAACTTCTGCATTTATTTATTACTTTTTCTTTATTAAAATATCGTAGTTTTCTGAGTTGCATTTCCTTTGATGTGCCTGACATAGGAAATTGAGTTTATTATGTGTTAAGGTGTTTTTTAATGTTTGAAATCTAACTACTGAAGGAGATAGAAATCAGACACAAACTTGTGATAAAATTTTATACCAAATTTAATAGGTCTAAACTTTAAGTATAATTTGATGCTATCAATTTTCTCATTCAAATTTTAATACAGTCATTGCAAAGAATAGAAGTTTATAAATATGTTATAGTGCCAACAAATCAAGTGAGAACTGCACTGAGAGATTTCTGTGAGTGTAACAAATATGTATCATTAGTTCATAAATTCACTTTTCTTTTATTTGGGTAATATAAATTTCAGTAAAAGTAATACTGAAAGGAACTTACAGTCCTGCAATAGAAAAGACCACTAGGTAAGAATGTGTAAAGAATAGAAATTGCTATGGATTTTGAGATCATACTAGTTTATCCTGAACCTAATGAATTCTATTAAAATTGGAAATAATAGTTTTTATGTAGTGACCAAGACTAACTATAAGAGATTAAATCTGCTGGCCAGGAAAGGGAGCAGCATGCAGTTTGCCTCTAGGTAAATTGCTTTGTAAGAAACTGAATTCACTTGCGAAAGCAATTATATTTTTCTATAATATTTTCCCTCTAGAGGGTAACTACAAATGATACATGTAGCCAACCAACAACCAAAAAAAAAAAAAAATGATGTAAAATGTTTTATTATCCATAAAATTCTGTAACTGCGAAGGTAACTGAATGATATGTGTAGCAAACCATAACCAAAAAAAACAAACAAAAAAGATAGAAGATGTTTTATTATTGATCTAATCAGAGGCATACTTATAATGGTGCTTGAATTACTTGAGTTGAGGAGAATCTAAAACTGTGAAATAACTGCCTACCAGCCTGAACTGGAAATGTTTCTTACCTTGCAATGTGGGTACCACATACAGCAGGGGGTAACAGCAGATGAGGGGCTCCCACGCTGGTTGTATTCAGTCCCAGACACCTTGAAGTTCAAGAACTTTCCATTTCACACCAGCTTCCCCTAAGTTTTCAGAGTTCCCAATTTCTGGTACTTAGGAGTGTCCTATGCCACTGAGATGGGGACTTGTCCTCCGAGGGACACTGGGATGCACAGATGTGCATTAGTTGTGCTGCACCATCCGTGGGTGGCCCCTGGGCGGCTGAGCAAAAGCCACGTGTGGTGTCCACTCAACAGGTCCCCCTGGTACCAGTGACAAGACACTCACGTGGAGTGGAGGCTGGGAAATGGACCAGCTGACATGCTCCTGCGTCCTCGGCTCCCCTGCCGATCCACTGTCCCCGGTCCACGGCCTACAGTCCACGGATGCCCTTGCCATCTCTCCATCATCACACCTCCTCCTTCCTGCTCCACACGGGCAGCTGTAATCTTTAGCTTATCTGGGAGTCAAGAGTCTGGTTCTTCATCTATTCTTTTCAAACTATTGTTTATGACAAAAAACGTTATAGCCTTAGTTCTTCATGGCTGACACTGCAAATACTAAGGGGCATCTCTTGAGAATTAAACACCTGCACTGGTGTTTCTGTTAAGAGCTCTGAAAGCCTATTTTGATATGTAAAAGTCAAGGATTGCCTTCTTTGTTCTTTTGCTCAGCTGTAGTGGCATTTTTTGGAAACAACTTAGGAGGAGGGATCTAGCTCCCTTCAGGGTATGGGGAATTGTAAGGGGTTGGGCAGGGGAACATAGTCAGTAATGGGATAACATCACGTCACAGCTAAAAGTACAGATTGCATAGGGTCAGGTCTGGATCTACCACTACATAGGCAGTTCATTTAATTTATTTATTAACGAAGTTGGGCAATTTATTTTGCCTTTCTTTCCTCACCTGTTTTAGTTTTGTTTTGTTGTTGTTGTTGTTGTTGTTTTATGATCGTTATACAACAAATACTACAAACCTGGTGTCTTAAACAACAGAAATTTATATTCTCATAGCTTATTTTCAGACTTCGGACCAATGTCTGAAACTCAGTTTCACTGGGCTGAAATCAAGATGTTGGCAGGGCCACGCTCCTTCTGGAGTTTTAGGGAGAATCCTTTCTCTTCTCTTCCAGCTTTTGGTGGCGGCCAACATTCCTGGACTTGTGGCCACATCACTCCAAGCTCTGCCTCTATGGTCACACTGTCCTTCTATTCCTCCTTGTGTCTGTCTACTCTCCCTCTGCCTCCCTCTTATAAGGAGACATGTGATTGTCTTTAGGGCCCATCAGATAATCCAGGATAATACCCCCATCTCATGACCCTTAATGCAATCACATCTGCAAAGTCCTTTTCTTGCCATATAAGGTAAAATCCACAGGTTCCAGGGAGTAGGACATAAATGTATTTTGGGGAGACCATTATTCAGCCTACTGTAAGTTAGGATGATGATAGTACGTGCAAGAACACATAGCATGTGACAAGTGCTCAGAACAATGTCTAGCAGGCAAAAAATCTCTCAATAGGGCTTCCCTGGTGGCGCAGTGGTTGAGAGTCCGCCTGCCGATGCAGGGGACACGGGTTCGTGCCCCGGTCCGGGGGGATCCCACATGCCGCGGAGTGGCTGGGCTCGTGAGCCATGTCCGCTGAGCCTGCGCATCCGGAGCCTGTGCTCCACCGCAACGGGAGAGGCCCGCGTACCAAAAAAAAAAAAAAAAAGAATCTCTCAATAAATGTTAGCACATGATGGTGATGCCAATGGCAATGGAGCAACAAGAAAATACAGAAGAAAATTTCAATGTGGACAATATAATTTTTAAATAAACATGTCACCTCTGGATTTTTGATGTGTGCTAACCTTGAAATGTTATTATTCAAAGAATATATCACCACATTGAATAACTATAACCGATGTGAAAAATGAGCTATTTCATTAGCCATATGATACACGTCACCAATGTTAACTTTGTCTTTTGTCACTTTTTACTTCAACCATTTCAACAATTTCACTTATCCTGAATTCTTCCTAAAGTGAAAATCAAAGATGTGATGTGATATGATTGTCTCCTTTTGCTCTCTTGTCTCCTTATATCCCAGGATACAGATCTAATGACATTCAACATCTCTGTACACCGGTCGTGGTGGCGGGAACACGGGCCTGGCTGTGTCCGAAGAGTGCTGCCCCCGTCAGCCCACAGCATGATGGACGATTACACGTATGTCTCCGTCACCGGCTGCATCGTCGACTTCCAGTACCTGGAGGTCATCCACAGTGCCGTCCAAATACTACTCTCTGTAAGTATCACATTTGTCCGATCAGGACTCTCTTTAATGGCATTTTATATCTAAACTTTCTGTCCATACCCCGCCACCGCTAGATAGTGCCGTAGATAGGCACACAGAGAACATCCTTTAAACAATGGAAATAGCAGCAATGATGCTAACGGTAGTTATGCTTAATGCAGGTGACATCTTTTTCCTCTTGGTATCCAGACACTTTGGTTTTAGAACCAGTTAGTTGCTGTAGTTTCTAACTTGAGATACAATCCCCACAATTCAGTGGAATAGTACCACCATCCCCCAGAAATGGTGCATTGCCCATTCGCTACTGTGGGCTCTTCTCCTAATATACTTCTACTGCTGCAGCTACTTCTAATGCATTCTTTTATTAAGTCATGTTAGCTCCAAAGAAAGAAGGATGAAAATACACCCGATGTCTTTCTCAATCGAGTAAACCTCATATTTCAAATAATTATTTCTTAAGAAAACAAATTCCTCCAGAGAGTCCTACACATTTTAGTGCCTGAAATTGGTTGTGAGGATACAGTTCCATATAGAGAAACAGAGAGGCAACGGTTTGATTGGGCCACAGAAGGCTTATGTGCTAGGAATTCCTTAAAGACATTTTCTTTCCACCAGACTGTCCCAGCCACAGTTTGATCACGCTGTGGAGTGGAATTAATTTAAGATATATACCATCTTCAAGAATGCTGTCTCTTTGAGATCCAACAAGGACTTGGCATTTTGTTTGAGTCAATATACAATAAAGCCGTTCTCACAACACTTTTCACATGAACCAGCCATCTCAGTTCTTCTATCCAGCTGGTTAGAGTTAGAGTCAGAATGAGAAAGACAGGCTCAATAATAAATAAATAGATGACAGAAGTACGAGAGGTGTATGTCAATGAAGAATGTACCTTGGAATTATTTCCAGAAAGAACTTTAGGAGTCCCTGCTAACACTTACTGTATCTGTTATCTACTGCTGTGTAACAAACTGCTCCAAACTGTAATCACTTAAAACAGTATCAGTGTGTTGCTTAGAGTCCTGTGGCTCAGGAATTTGGGCAGGGCTCAGTTGGATTGCTCTGTTTCACATGGTGCTAGCCAGGTCACTCACGTGAACCTTCCACCAGGAGCTCTGCTGTGGTTAGAATATTCTAGAAGTCCTCACTTATATGTCTGGTGCTGGCTGTTGACCCACATTCTCCTCCACATGGCTTCTCTTTTTGAAGAAAACTTGACAGACTTTCTTGCAGCCAGGCTGCTGGGTTCCAAAAAGAGAAGCCCAACATGCAAGCATTTATCAAGCCTTTACTTGAGAGTAATATCTACTGTTGTCCCATTGGCTACAGCAAGTCATGTGACCAAGCCCAGCATCATTGTGGGAGGGGCCTCTAGAAAGGTGAGAGTATCAGGAGACATGGCTCATTTGGAGCCACCAATGTAGCAGTCTTACCCACCTTTACATAATTTATTAACTATTGTTCTTTAACCTGCATATGTCAAGGTTTAAAATAGTGTTTTAGAGCATATTTGAATTATAATTTTCTAGAAAGACTAAAGACTAGAATAAAAAACTTCAAAGATCTTTTAGTGTTCTAGTTCAATGAAAGGCAAATTCTACCCTAAATTCAAAGAAAGAGGTTGGACCTCAATGCTAAGGAATTTTCTTTCAGAGATGTAACAGGGAATCTGATTATTCTTGGTTTCTATATGCTGTCATTTGTCAATATATGTTTATCAATCTTTCCCT